CCCTCCCATCCCGGCCCCCATCTGGGTCCCCGGCACTGCCCAACACAGAGCTGGGCCCCCAACACCCGTCTCCCAGGCCTTCCTTTCACTCGCAGCAACTGACTGCCCGCAGAACTCTTGAGGACCGAAACGTCCCCACCGGCCCCATCCAGCCAGGAGCCGCCTGTGACACTCAAGCCCGTGCGTGGGCAGCGGCTGCCTGTAAGACGGCGCCGCCTGCCAGGCAGAGGCTGAAGAAGTAGCAACAGTCGTGACCACAACCACTGTGGCCACAATCGGACCAGAAAGCAGCTCAGTGGCGAGGCCGTCACACACGGCTGTCCAGGCGACACCAAGTTCCGCGAGACTCAGTAGCCAGACGGGCCACAAGCCCGGGGTGCATGTGGGCCTGAGCCTGCCAGCCCTCCCTCTTTTTCCTTCTTGTAATTATAATTCTCGTTATCTGCACACAGGCGGGTTCTCAAACTCCGAGCCTCAAGTGACCCTCCCACTTCGGCCTCACGGCTACACTGAAACTATGCTCGCAACGAGAGCCCCGAGGACACCCGAAGTTGTCCGCCCTGATACCCCACCAGGTCTGTCCCTGGCGGACTGAGTCTGAACCTGGGGGGTGGTGACCCACCTTCACAGCAGTTCAACCACAAGGAGGTCAGGCTGCACCTTGACCAGGGCCACGAGGCCCCCCTCTGCTTGGTCATTTTGGGGCATGCCCCCCCAAGAGATGAAAGCATAGACTCCAGGGACGGGGTGGGGCCAGCGCGCCCTTCAGCCCCAAATCAGAGACTCCTAGAACCTGCGCCAGGAACGGCACGAGGCCCAGCGCTCCCACTCCGTGTCTTCTCTCATTCCGCAGAATTTCCACTGTTGTTTTTTTTTTTTTTGAGTCGGAGTCTCACTCCGTCGCCCAGACTGGAGGGCAGTGGCCGCTCCCGGCCACCGCAGCCTCGACCTGCTGGGCTCTGGCGATCCTTCCGCCTCAGCCTTCCGAGTAGCCGGAACGACAGCCATGCACTACCATGCCCAGCTGATTTTTTGATTTATCGTAGAGATGAGGTCTCGCTGCCCAGGCGGGTCTCGAACCCGCGGGCTCAGGCAATTCACTCACCTCGGCCTCCCAAGGCGCGGGATGACAGGCGGAGGCACCGAGCCCGGATATCTCCATTTCATAGATGAGGACACAAGACACAAAAAAGCCTCACACAAGCAACCAGCAGAGTCTCTATAAACTGATACACGTTTCCTAGCAAGACACAAACCTGCCAGTCTCAGGTGAAGCGACAGTGTTTGCTCAAAGTGGCGATTCAGAAACACTGTGATTCAGTGGCTCAAGCACTCTGGGAGGCCGAGGTGAGAGGACTGCCTGAGCTCAGGGGTTCGAGACCAGCCTGGGCACTTGTTGAGACCTCGCATCTATAATCAAATAAAAAGTTAGCCGGGCGCGGTGGCGTGTGCCTGTAGCTCCGACAACTCGGAAGGCTGAGGCGGAAGGCTCGCCGGAGCCCGGAGGCTGAGGCTGGGGTGGCAGTGGGCGTGCCCCTGCCCTCCAGCCTGGGCCATGGAGTGAGACTCCAACGCAAAAGCCAAACAAATCGATGAAACGTGGCTAAAACGGACGGTTATTTCCCAGAAGATGTTGAACGGACGAGAGCAAAGGACCTGCCTGACGGGCAGGCGAGGCACGGACAGACGCCCGCGGCAGCCACGCGTCGTCAGTGGCCCTGGCAGGGCGGAAGCACAGAGCGCCATAAGGCCTCGGCCCCGCCGCAGACCCGCTGAGCTGGGGAGGGTGCCCGAGCTTCGGGGCCATGGCAGGAGGAACACTGCTCTTGGGACACCAACGGGCGGCGATGTGGACCGCTGGCTGGGACACGGCCTGGGCAGACAAAGCAGACAGGTCGAGAGGTCTCCGGGATCGGCAGCAGGCCTGGCCATCACAGGTAAGCAGGGCCGGCCCGAGTGGGGACCCCGCAGGGCGATTCTAGAAGCCGTACAAGCAAAAAGGCACCCAGCTCCACACCAGGACGCAGGGAAGGCTGCGTGTCCAGGGACGGCAGGCAGTCACTTGGGAAGCCAAGCCCCGGGAAAACACGAACGGTGAAGGGCGTCGGGACGACAGAGACAAATCACGGCAACATCCCTGTGCCGACCCATCAAGAGAAAGAGACAGCCGGGCTCGGTGGCTCGGCCTGTCATCCCGCGCCTTAGGAGGCTAAGGTGAGTGGATTGCCTGAGCCCGCGGGTTCGAGACCCACCTGGGCAGCAAGACCTCATCTCTACAACAAAACAAAAAATTAGACAGGCATGGTGGCGAGTGGGACTCCAACTCAAAAACAAAAAACAAAAAAAACAGTTACGTATTTCCAAGTAGTGAGGCTTGTTTCTTTCTCCTTTTTGGCCTTTTACTTCTAGTTTTACTACCTTGTTCTCCGAGACACGGCTTCTACTTTTTGTCATGTGAGCTTTGCTTTGTGCCCAGCGTGGTCGACTTTTATGAAAATGGGCGGGGCCCCAACATCACCTGGGAGTCTCCCACAGGCCCCTCTGGCCCTGGGTTCAGAGTCCAGGGCCAGGCGTGTGTTTGAGCAGCCCACGAGTGGGCCGGACACACACCCGACCGGGAGCTGCCGTGGGCATGACCCTGACCGCTCCGACTTCCTGGTCCTCTGCCTCCCGCCCGGTTTTCGCGTCCTAGCCCCTGCCAAGGACATCGAAAGCAAACCCCTACCCCCAGCACGTCTTCTTTCTCCAGGGCATCTTCAGCCTGGAACAGTGAGGTACAGCGAGGGACCGATCATTTCATCCTGGCCAGACTGAAAAGAATCTTACAGGAGGCACCAAAACAAAGTGTGTCTGTCCTGGGACAGTGTGACGGGGACAGGACAGTTCTGTGATTTTTTTTTTTAACTTTAAACGGGGCCTGGTTTTATCCCGGGCTGCAGGGCAGTGATAGGAAGTGTAGTGATAGCCCACTACAGCCTCAAACTCCTGGGCTCAAGCGGTCTTCCCATCATGGCCGCCTTAGGAGGTGAGACTACAGGCACCACCACAGTCAGCTAATTTCTTAGAACATTTTTTTGCAGAGGCTGGGTCTTGCTATCTTGCCCAGGCTGGTCTGGAACTCCTTACCTCAAATGATCCTCCCACCTTGGTCTCCCAAAGTGCAAGATCGCAGGCATGAGCCACCACACCTGACTCAGTTCTGCATCTTTTCTTTTTGAGTCAAGGTCTCACTCTGCTGCCCAGACTGGAAGGCAGTGGCGTGATCACGGCTCACTGCAGCCTCGACCTCCTGGGCTCAGGTAGCCAACCCCTCAGCCTCCCGAGTAGCTGAGACGACAGGTGTGTGCCACCACACCCGACTCATTTTAAAATTTTTCATACAGAAGGATCTTTCATGTTATGGAGGCTGATCCCAAACTCTTGGCCTTGAGCAATCCTCCCGCTCCGGTCTCCCAAAGTGTCGAGATGAAAGGCGTGAGCCACTGTGCCAGGCTCAGCCCTGTATCTTGGTTGTAGTGGTTGCTGTATGACTCTACACAAGGCATAAGACTGCGCCAAACCAC